CCCCAAAACCCCAAAACCCCAAAACCCCATTAAGATCGATTTTATGTATTTTAAAAATGTAATAATTTTAAATAGATGACTTTTGCAATTTTATATTCATTTCTCATGACTTATTTCAGTTTTATATAGTATGAATCTTGAGAGATCACCAAATACCCACAGTCTTTTTTTAGTAGAAATCATATAATTTGGTTCTTAGATTGCCTGCTGATTTGTTGACCATTTATCTTATGAATAATTTACATTCTTTTTTAGTCATTGCTAACTTAAATCTTTCTCTTAAAGACTCAAGTACTCTATCTGATCCTTAGAAACAAGGAAGGTCAATTCCAGATATCATTGTCATCTCTACAAATGAGATAATTTCCTCAGCATGCTCTCGAAGACAGAGGAATCCTTTTGTCATTAGTTTAGTAAATTTATCATAATGAGGGGATGAAGTTCCACCCATTACATCGACATATTCCTAAGTTAGTTTGAATGAGTCAGCTTCAAATTTAACTCCTCCAGGATTATTTGACAATAGGAATCCAAAATCAACATGAACCACATGTCCCTTACTATCAAGAAGGATATTTCCATTGTGTCTATCTTTGATTTATAATATATAGCATAAGAGGGAATAGCCAGCCATAGATTGAATAAATGCATTTCTGGCATCCTTAAATTTTCTCTTTCTTGATGATTCTTTGTTGTTACCTTGAGATTTATTACCACCATATGTGTTAATGAAATAAGTTCTAAGATCTTAGAACTGTGTAAATGTTTTCTTTAATTTATCAATAGAGATTGCATCAGAAATGGTTTGAATAAGTCCACCATCATTACAAGTCGCTATGATATTGAATGGCTTTAACCATAGTTTCAATTTATGACTGTCAAAAATATCTTTGAACTTCGATATCATTTGAGCTGCAAACTATTCTTGTCTTAAATCATCCCCACTTTTAATAATTACAGAGATATATCCATGATTTTTTAGATTTTTAAATCTGCTTTTTTCTCTTAATTCCTCCTAAACTTCAAGGAAACTTTTTTAGCCAAATATCCCACTAGGTTTGCTCTACTCTTTTTCCATATTTATCAATTACTACTAAGTTGTGAAGCATGAGCATAATTTTTATAAAATGCTCCTTCTCTAATACTTATAATAAAGAAATTCATCATCCTCATCACTTTTATCTTCGAAATTAGTTTCAGAACCGTTTTATTTTTAGGCTGAGCTTTCGTTTATATCGGACTCATAAATTTTCTTAGCAAATTTGTTCTTCTTCTAGGGCTTATTATTGAAAGGATTAGTCACACTCTTGTACTCTTCAAGAAAATCCTAGGAATATTCCTTTGTTAGCTTATTATTCTCTAGTCTGTACTTTTTATTTACATTTCTCTCATTTTCAAGCGACTTTGTTTTTCTCTAAACTTAAAATTCGTCATCTTCACCAAGATACTTACTTTATTTCATTTCTTCATCTGAGAAGATGTGGCCGCTCTCCTTTCTTTATGTTTAGAAGTCGTTAAATACCTGCATTTCAATAAATTACTATTATTAAGCACCCTTTTATGTCTTATTTTACTTTTTTGAGTCTCCTGTAGACTTTGCACTTTTCTAAGGTGCTTTTAATGATTGAGACAATTTCTTGGTTGGAGCAGTAGCACCCTTAAAATCTCCATCATTATTTGATAAATGCGAAGATTCTTCCTCACTTTATGATGATCTACGACTATTTGCTATGTCATTTTCATCATATTCAATCTCAATTATTATATGATAGGGTACTCTCTCTTTAGAATGAAGACAGAAATTATAGTCAGTGCATACCTAAAGAATTTTATGATTAGTTATAACCGCCTTTCTATTTTTATTTGTCTTAAATTTTGATTGAATTATATTATCATGAGATATCGGGATGTAGATATTTGCTGGTAAGTTTTTATTTAATTACTCAACTAATGTTGTGAGCATATCATTTCTTTCAGGCTAAGAAACAGTTTTCAGAACTTCGGAAATATGGATAAGATCGCTTACAAATTTTGGAGTAGAGAAAAAAATCTAATGTTCACTCATATTATTTGATAATGTTCTGATTATTTGCTAATCATATCTGCTTATCAGTGCAATACTGTCTAGCTAAGTGCTACCCAAAGTATAATCATAACGAACTTTGGATGATGAGCCTGTATCTGCTAGTTTCTCCTTATTTGGAAGTTGAATGGTATTTTTAAGAAGCTCATCTTGATTTTTTAGCTCCTCTAAGTTGCCAAGTGAAAATCTTGGAATCTATTCCTCAGCTGTATCAATTAACCTCTTAAGAAAGTCCCATATCTCTGGTGTTTTATGCTGGCTAAGTTAAATACTCTCTGTGTCATCTAACCCTGCAATAATATACCAGAAAATTAAATGAGCGAATTTTAAAGATCTTCTAGCTTTGCTAAGTAAGAATTTCTCTAATAGATCCTAATGATGTTGGCCTTAATGGCTAGTTGGATGGATAGAGCTTCCCTTTGGTTGATAAGCATTGAAATGGAAGAGATAAGTACACAGTTAAGGAACATAGAATTCAACTTCTTCGGGGTATTTCTCGTATAGTATTGCTAATTCACTGAATACTTCATCTTCCTCATCACCAGCATACAGAGCTAAGATAGCATTAAACACTTTATCTCTTTCAGATTCTTATCCATGCCCCTTTCCACCCTTCTTCTTTACAAAGTCCTTAATTTTCTTCCATTTCTCCTACCAGTTCTTCTTATCTAATACATCTTCTAAGATCTTTTTGAACATTATTTTGTTCTTTGATTTCTTTTAAGCAGGTGGGGCTACATATTTAAAGGAGCTAGATTGAAAGCTTGATGATAGTCCATAATTTTAGTCTGTATTGAAGGCATAGTGTGGAGATTTATCCAAATTAGTTGAGTCCAAGTTGTTCATAGTTATATCGATGATTTGTATGTGTCAGATTAATAATTCAATTCAAACTTCTTATATTATTGATTATATGACCTATCAGCAAACTTTTTCAAATGCCCACACACGGGGTTTTGGGGTTTTGGGGTTTTGGGG